TAGCACTTTAGTATGTATTTTTCCCAAGGAGATCAAATGAACCCCCCATTAGATAACCACTGGGAAAACAAACAAACAAAACACAACCTCATTTGCAGAGTAAGCCAAGCAGTTCCAAAAGAATGCAGTAAAAACAGTGCCATGAACAGAGAATGAAATGCTTTTCACATATTATCTTTCAAAGGAGCAAGAGACATTCACAGCACCAGGGAAATCTGAAATAGCTCTGTCAGTAAAAAGGTACCCATAAAAAGGTGCCCATTGTATAAGAAAGATCAGATAATTTGTAAAGCATCTAGTGTTTTACAGTATCCCTAGCCTGGAGTCCTGAGCTCTTTCCAAAAATTAGAAGGCTCAACTTAGGAGGCTCCCCAAACTAGGAAAAATCTTGGATCTTCCCATTTCAAGTTACACAACCTAATAGGTAAAAAAAATAATCCTTTGCTTGAATCAGGGCTGTTAGTCATTAAGTCTGGACTAAAAATTCATTAATTATGGAATAAAGTAACAGTTAAAAATATTTTCTCTTTTACAATGTTGTCAGATCACACTGAAAACTCATTCCACTGTTGGTGCTTATCTGTCAGTTGCACACACGTGCCTTCTGAAGGAGTTCTTACACACTTGGTATTACTTTTGGAAGCACCAGATGGAATAACACACCAGAGCAGAACCTATATTCCTTTTTATGGGGAGAGCAAAGTCCAGGACTTTCATGATTTTCTCTCTCTCACCATGCTCCATCTTTTAAGAGCCTACAGGTTCAAATTATCAGGTAGTTAATTTGAAGATAATTTATCGACAAACCATGAAAGGTTTTTAGTAAAGTACCCGGGGATTTCATAGCTTGACTTGGGATAGCTGTAAGAAATTAATGAGTCCAACAAGACCAAGCACATTCAGACGCTGGAATTTGTGCCCTTGAGACTGCTGTTCCCAGCCCAGGCACAGAACACACCTCAGAGAAACATCCTTCCAGGATCACTCATTCCTGGCCTCACCCCCGTGCCAGCACCCGCCAGCTCTTACATAAGGCCTCTTGCTACATCACTTGCCACAGGCTGTTGTAAACCATTTTTCTCCCTTTCAATTCAAGGTCCTAGACAAGCAAAAATGCAGAATATTGCCAGAAAAGTCTGGGGAATGGGGATTTCTGTTGTGGATGATTAATGGAATATTATTGTTTTGCACTTAAAGGGAAATCATGGTTTCATGCCAGTAGGGTCAGGGCCTTAATATATTATGTGCTCTAGAAAGATGTAAAGAATGATAGTTAATTTTCTGGTATGACTGAGCCAAAGCCTCATCAGGTTAGAGGGGAAGAAATAGTGACACTGTGCTGAAAGCCAAAGCAAACTATTTTATTTTTTTTTTAACATTGCTAATTGCAATTCTGGTATATTTAAATTCACATCTCTACCTGCATCAGGATGGGGTGGGGCAAAAGTAAGATGCTGGGACCCTGGCTCTGTAGATACCGGCCAAATAATTATCCTTTGTGATGTCCCCCAATCTGTCCTTGGATTCATGTAATTTCTGCGATATTCTTGTTGAGAGAGACTGATCCTAGAGACCCAGAACAGGAAGATCCTTGGAGCTACATCGAGGCATTTGATCTGTTCAGTTGTATTTTGAAAATCAATTCTTCCTAACCTGAGCTCCTCGATACCACCTTCCAAGTCACGCTGCCTTGGCCTAAGCACAGGGTCTGGAAGTTCCTTCTTCTGGCTCATCATGGATTTTACTGCAAATATTTTTTACAGATATGCCTATTAAAAAGTACATTATCAGCACCAAATCCCAGGATCTCCCCATGTCACTGAGGGAGACTCATAAAGAAATTACATCTCTTTGGTAAAAGAGCAAGGCTTTTAAAAGGAACAAAGTTCCCGAGAATGGTGTGTTCCTAAAATGCTTAACAGGAGTGGGCAATACTGTCCTCTTAGGCTCTGCACAGAGACAATGCCCTAATCCTATGCATAAGATTTTTAAATTTTCTTTTCAGTGACCAGACCCATCATATACAATCCTTCAGCTCTGAGAATGCAAAAACCCCCCCTCGAGAATCTTTCATTGAAAATTGGCAGTAAAAGAATGATTTTTAAAAGCATTTTTCAGGAGTCTTTCTTCCCCGAGCAGGTGTGCAACACATAGATTTGAAAGATAAATTTAAAACAATTCAGTACAAGTTATTTGTATAAAAATGAGCATAGTGAACACTTGAGATCCTGATCACTACCCTGTAGTGATCTTGTAGAAAAAAAAACAAAAACAGTTTGCAGGATGGGAAACAGTGAGTGTAATCCAATCAAACAATGCAATAATTATGAAAAATGGAAAGGGGTCAAAGTGGGAAAGCTTTTGATTTCTTTTTGCATTGGCATTTGTCAAGGGGAGCAAAATCCATTAGCAAGGAGCAGCCTGAGTTTTAACACATCTGAGTCTTTAAAAATGTTAATGTTTAATAGGGTGTGCTCATGCTTTATATATCCCTGATAACAATCCATGGGCTGATAGGCATCTCAAGGTTGTAAATCAGTTGCAGAGCCTCACAAGGCACACAAGCACTTGGTGTTCACTCTCCTGGTTTATTATTTTATCAGAACTCATTGGCTGAATTATGGCCTTATAACAGCTCTTTCTTTGCATTATCCTGCTGTTATTGTAGCATTATTAACCTGTGTCCCATTAGGAGGTTGTATGTCCCCCTCCAGATGAGCACACAGAAGTTTGATGATCCTGTGGCTGTTTAGTGTACAGGCTCATTTTCTAGGAGGAACTGATTAGTTTCCTCAGCTCTGCCCACAAAGTCCTCTTACCTGAAGATGGTATCAGTTCTGGCTTGGGCTGGCAGAAGGACAAAAACCAATGGAGCAATGGTTTCTCCCCAGTCCTGTGTGGGATGCCTCACCTGCAAGTCAACCACTCCGCTGTAGGCTGCGTTCAGGTTTGCATACTGGTAGCCAAGGTATGTGAGGAGGAAATGGAGGTGAGGACGCCACATAAGTTGTACTTTAGAACTGCAATGATACCCTCCCACTGGAGAGCTCACCCACCATTTCCAGCAGCACGTGCACCTGCCTGAATTGCAGGTTGCAATTCCATGGGCTCATTACTTGAGAAAGGATTTCACCCCATATTATCACCAGCTACAACCTGAAGCTTTAAAAAGCCTAAAAGCCCTTTAGAAAGTGCTCTTGCTTTCTCAAATGCTCTTGCTTTCTTGCTTGACTCCAACAGAGCCATGGGGGCTACATGTAAACAGAAACCACACATTTCTTCCATCAGTACCAACTGGGCCCATGTAGGGTTTTTTTTTCCTGACTCTTACCATATCTTATGAAGTTTCAAAATTCCCAGTGGTCACACCATTTGCTCAGAATCCAGCAGAACAGGACATTCTTGGAAACGTCTGGGAGAAGAGGGTGCAGACCAAAACCTCAGAGCTGTGCAGCAAATCTTGAGGTGGACATGCCCTCCTTTCTTTGCCCACCCTGCCTAGTCCTCCTCTGCACAGCGTAATTGTCCCTTGTGAAAAACTCCACTCCTGGTAACAAGCCTTGGAGAACAGGCAGACGTGCAGGCACCTTTTTTGTGTCAATCTAGTTAGAGTTTATTGATTCTCTTTGCCTTCAGCTAATGTACTTTTATTATTATTAATAAGTAATCATCATTTTTCCACCAGTGCAGCCTGCACCCAGGAGCCTTGGAGGATTCTAGCAAAAGTATTATTAAAACTAAAGATATCTAAAGGGTTGAACACCAGCCACGGCCCAGTAATCTGATGAAATCTGCAATGGGGAGCAAAATATCCCTGCCTGAGAATATGTGACAGAGCATCAAATTGGCTTCTATCCCCAGAGCCCCCATTTACCACTGTGGCCTCTCATTCATGATCACTTCTGCTTTGTTGCCATGCCCAAGGCTGCAAAGGGTGCAGGTGGCTCTTGGGGAGCAGTTGCCCGGGCACGTGGGCCCTTGCAAGACCCTGCCCTGGTGTGTGACTCAGTGCACCTGAGTGCCAAACTGTGTCCTCCTGGCTGGCACCCCCTGCAGCAGCTGCCCAGGCAGCATCCAGCCTCTGCCTGGCCAGCTGCAGAGCCTGATCCTGGCTCCTTCCAGGTTACAATGATCCAGGATCTCTTTCCCAATCTAGGCAGAAACATTCCCTGGAGGGGATGGTTTATCTTAGAGGATGGGATACATCTTCTCATAAACAGGCAGGACAGCCAGGAAAGAGTCATCACCCAACTGAGACATAGAGAGGGATGTCCAGGCACACAGTGAACAGCAAACTGCAAAATGGTGGTTTTAGGGTCATTTGGAGATTGCCAGTAGAGGATTTTTTGGGACAAATGTCAATAACAGTGTCAGCAATGAAAGCGCTGTGTTGCTCAAGGAGGTGACTGATTTCACTGGGGTGGAAGGAAAGTAAAAAGAATCAGAGCTGTCACCTGTAGACAGATCTTCTCCAGGCTGCAACCCTGAATTAGCACATCTTCATGCCACCGCCATTCCAGCTCCTCAGTCAGCCTTGTTTTCCCTGAGGACTTCCTTGCCAGCTGCACCCTGGGCCATGCATGAGTGTGGGCTTTCCCTCCTGTGTCCTGCTTCACTTGTTGCATCACCAGTGGTCCAGCTGAGTCCAGCAATCTGGCACCACCACAGCAACCCAGCATGGGTCTTGTCCCTTGATTCTACCCATGAAATCACATAGACCACAACGTGCCCAAAACACAGATTTTCACTGGAAAACAAACACCTTGTCCCAATGTTCTAGATGAAATAGGAGCTCTGGATTAAGATAATCCATGCTTCAGAATAAAACAGTGTGTTTTATTTGGCATGGAAAAAAAAGTACATCAGGTCTAAATGAAAGTAAACAAGACCTCAGAGTCCTTTTCTCTGTGTAAAGCCTCTTGCCCAGAAGGTGTGTCCACCAAGGACAGAAGGACTATAAAGGGACCCCAAGATGCTCACACCCACACTTTGATGTAGACATGGCCATGCAGAGCTTGCTGCAGAACGTGGGCTCCAGCTCACTGCTCTGTTTGGCAGCAGGGCTGGTTGCCCTCCTTTACCTTCTTACCAGCCTGAAGAAGTCGGTCTGCAATTTGCCTCCTGGGCCACGACCTCTTCCTCTGATTGGAAACTTGAATGTGGTGGACCTGAAAAAGCCATTCCAGTCGCTGACAGAGGTAGGGTGGGAGCAAGCAAGCAGGAGGAAAAGGTGCAATTCCTGAAGCGAGGAATGCAACCAGGGAAATGGAGATGTGGTTGTATTTGTGTTGTGTGGAGGGCAGAAATGAGGCATTTGGGGCATAGACAGGCTGGTGGAGTGACTTTACCTTCAGAGGTATACACATACAAGTATTTATAGATATAAATATTGCTTCCTTTTTACATACACAGACCTAGACCTTCATTCCTTGCAATCAGCTCCATATTGTTGGTATTTTGAGCTCCTCAGAGGCTGCAGGTAGAAGACTGTAGTTGGGCCAGCTTGCTGACAGATCAGAACTTTCTGCCATCAAGAGATGTCTCACTGCAGACAGACCTCTCCTCCTAAAAGCAAGTGAAAAGGAATAAAGGGGCGAAGGGAGGAAGAAAGGGTATCATCCCCCCAGCAGAGGAAATGGGGCCATATGCACATTTATTTCCGAAGCTCATTATATACCTGCAAAGCACATCTCGACTCTGCCTGCCCATCCCTTCCCCTGCACACACACTCAGGCCAGGGTTACTTAAGACTTGATGTGTGGCTTTTGTATTCCTAGGTAAACAAATTGCTTTTTCTTATGCAGCTCCATGGATACTTTTATTTCTAAAACAGAAAATAAATACATAAATAAATAAAGGGCTTAAATATTATTCTGTGATAATAAACCCAGGTGCAATGTTTGTTTCAGAAACTGTCTGCTCTGCTCCCATAGGGAAGTGGGGAAAGGTCAATGTGAATTCAGATTTCTCTGGTTGCTGTAGAGGCAGTTGAGGTGCCCTCAGTGACCTGTCACATACCTTGTGTGTGCTTTCTGGAGGCTGTGACAGGGGAAAGCCAGTCCCCCGTGAGCTCCTTCAGCCCACCCAACGGTCTGCAGTGCGGACATGGAAATTCACCAGCCGGTCATAGAAGTAGGGGCATCCTGGGCTGCCAAAGTACAGAATTGCTATAGCAGTCACATGATGGTCTTGATTTACAGCGCAGAGGACCACGCAGAGCATGGTTTTGAAGGGCTTCTGGTCACTCCCATCCAATCATTGCTGTGTCTGAGTGTGCCAGTGTGGGAGAGCAAATATTTTTGGCGGTACTGGGGGATTTTATGACACCCACCATCAAACAAAGACACCAGACTCATTTCCTATAATCTGCCAAGCATCTTTCTTTAGGCTTTCAGGTTTGCCACATTCAACACTTGTGCTGCTGAGAAATAACAGAGTTGTTGCCAAGAAGTTCTAATGCAAAGAAATGACCCGAGGCAGGCTGGGAGGCGGCCGTGGTTCCCCGGCTCTGCCACCCGCTCTAAGAGCTGCTGGGGATCAAAGAACCAGTGTTAATGTTATCTCCCAAGCCATCAAACCACGGTTTGATGAAAACAAATTCAATTTGTCTGGTGTAGTAACAGGAGCTGCTTCTAGTCTGAAATTCAATTTTCAGAATGGATCTAATGCATAGCAAATGGTAACCTAGGCACGTCGGCAACAGGACGACATTTGGAGCGGAGGGTTTGCAGGGTGTTGAAACGAAGTCTAAAATACTGAGTGAATTATTAGATTGTCAAAGCCACCCTTCTGTGTAACAGATGATTCATATTTAATTTGCTATAAAAGCCTAGAGCTGCTGTGACATTATCTACAAGAACATGCTTCCTAGTCGGATTCAAGTTTCTGGTGGCCAGCAAATAATTTTGTGCTGACTGCAACACTACCCACCTTGCCATAATTAGAGACAAGTGCTGTCCTGAAAGAAAGACTTATTGTCTAGCTTTGTTTTTGTAATGTTTGTGGCTTCAGCCTCCAAGATACGTGCACACCCGCTTGCCTCAGGTCAACAGCATTAAAATAAACAGGCCTGCCTGCTACAGCATTTTCTAACCAGCCTCCTGAGAGTGGCATCCGCAGGCTGGCCTGTTGCTGCAGAACACCACAGGAATGCAGTGGCATTTTATTGACTGCTCTGATAGGAGCAGAGATAGCAGACACCTTGTTGTGCAAACAGTGTGCAAGCAGAGATGCTGGCAGTTGATACCTTTTCCTCATTAGTTGCATTACAGCAGCACCTGGAGACTTCAGGGAGGGCTGGGAGGCTTTTTTCAGGCTAGAAACCACCACGGGTGGGTAGTGCTAGCGTTTGGGTCCAGATCTGGTTTTGAATGAACATACTTAATTCACCTTGACAGCTCTCCAAGATATATGGCAATGTCTTCACTGTGCATTTTGGACCCAGGAAAGCGGTGGTGCTGGCTGGATATGAAACCATCAAGGATGCCCTTTATAATCATGCTGAAGACTTTGGAGAGAGGGCAGATATACCCATATTTAGGAAAATGACACAAGGAAATGGCAAGTGATCTTTTCGTTGGTTAGTTTTTGTAGTTTGTGCTCAGTATATTCTTACAGCAGAGAGTATCATCCCCTTACAGATTGTTTTTTGTTTATATAATTGTAGCTGTAACAGCAGCAAATATGTAACATTGTATATATAACAGCAGCTTTGGTACAGTATGTAAGAAGGCCTTACAAACATCTACTAACCATGGGTAACATAAGGGTGTTACACCTTTGTTTTAGGCATAGCATTTAGCCATGGAGAGCAATGGAAAACTATGAGAAGATTCACCTTGGCCACACTGCGAGATTTTGGAATGGGAAAGAGAACCATTGAGATCCGAATCCTGGAGGAAGTAAATTCCCTTATAAAATATTTTGAATCCTATCATGGTGAGTGCCAAGATTTTCATCTGCAGACAGAAAACTTGTCTAGCAGAACAATAAAGGTTAATGAAAGTTTAATGCTGAGCAAATGGTATCTCATGGTTAAAGTTCAGCATGTGCTGAGGCCTTAAAATGTTGAAACTGAGTTCCCTGCTCTGCATTCTGGGTGCTGAAAAAGTTTTTTCTTTAGGAGCTCAGGACTATGTTTCCATAGGAAGCCAGACTGAAAAAAACATAATCACTTTGTCATTTGTTTTCATTGCTTGAAATACAGGGAAACCATTTGATACAAAGATGATACTCAACAATGCTGTATCCAATGTCATCTGCTCTATCTTGTTTGGAGAGAGGTTTGAATATGATGATCCTGTATTTCTAACTTTGCTGAAGCTGATAAATGAAAATACCAAGCTGTTGGGCTCCCCTATGGTGCTGGTAAGAGCTTGATTTTATGTTTTAGCTTTTAGTTTTTTGTGAGAAATCAGGTTGCCTCCCACATCTTGCCTCTTGAGAGCACGAACATCATCAGCCAGACAGACTGTACAGAACACATCTATGTCCTGTATCCACAGTGCACAGATTCCCAGGCCCCTGTGCTTAGCCCGTGAATCTTATTAGTAAAATAAAAAAAAACCCAAGGTCTTCACAAAAGGAAGAGCAGAAACACAATACTTCTCTCATATCAGAGACTGGCTCTGAAATGCCATCTCAAATCTGTTCCCTTGTATTACACCTTCAGTGACTGGCTTAGTTCTGCCTCCCCTAGAATCAGGTTTGAGAAACTTTTATGGCTGTTTTTTGGCCACTGAAACTCAGCCTTAAAAAACTAACAGGTGATATAAGCCTGTTCTTTCCTGACACAAAGCTTCTGCTTTGAACGTTGGTGGAGTCATCTTTCTGAGCTGCACTGGGGTCCGTGGCTGGCTGTGACTCCAGACTAGCTAAGCCCAAAAATTCACCACCCGAGCACAGATCAGTCACACACTGTGTACAGACACTCTCCCGAGATGAGGCACTAGCTGACAGCTAATCTCAGGTGTTTAATTGGCAAGGTAGCTAGTGGCCTCCTTGAAGATGTGTATACCTGTCCTGGGAGGAACAGGGGTGAGACCCCTCCTTTCTTCTGACAGCACGTTTGTCCATCTGACATACTGCAATGCCATGCCCAGTCCAGCTTCTAGGAGCAGTGTGGTTGGCTTATCTTGGTGCTGTGCCTAAGCTAATTGCTTGGAAAGCATCATGTTGACATGGCAATATTGTCTGTCTGGGAAGGTAGACAGTTCAAGCCCTATCTGCTGCCATAGGATGTGATGGACCTGAGGGTTTTCCCTGGAAAAAGTACAATGCTTTCATTCCCATCTTTCTACCTCTAAGACCCTCTGTCCCACCACCTACACTGCTGGAAGCCCTGAAAGAAGATTAAGCTGATGAGTCTCCCAAAAGTCATGACAAAGCCTCAGGCAGAGGTATAAGAGAAAGAGCACGATTTCTGCAGCAATTCGTAGCTGCTCTGACTGTACAAGCAAACATGGGTGAATTACAGCCTGGAATGTCAGGGCATGGGACAAGGGACCAGCAGTGTGATGTGAGATCCCAGTATGTGTTCAACATGCCAATTAACAGTAAGACTTCTCTTGCTCCACAGTTATATAATTTCTACCCAACCCTTGGATTTCTCTCTGGAGCTTCCAAGACTGTGCTTCAAAATATCAGGGAGCTGAATGCTTTTCTCCAGAAGCTCTTCCAGGAACACAAAGAAGAGCTTAGTGAAAATAACTTAACAGGCTTTGTTGATGCCTTTCTGATGAAGCAACAACAGGTACTTCAAAGCTAAGTCTCAAGAGTCTTTCTATTCTCTTAGCTCTTATTCTTAGGACTGACCAACACTCAGGGTCTGGGAGTGAGGGGAAACAGAAGAACTGCAGTGAGCAGAGTGTATCAAAGAATATATATAAATATATACTCACAGTGAGCTGCACTGTACTCACTCCTCTGGAACTGCTGGTTAAAGGATCTAGTTGTCAGGATGTCCCACATGAGTGAAATAAGTTACTGCTTCAGCACACGTAAGGAGGAGATCATGCCAAACCTTCCTGCAAGAATGGTACATTGTGAACTTCATTGCAGTAACTAAATTCCTAGTAACCTAATATCTGCACCTGGGAAATGCACATGTGCTTGGGACCAGACAAATTCCATACAGCAGAGTTCCTAATGCTAAAATACTAATAATTCAGTTTCTCACAGCATGTAAAGTCACAAAAAACTAAAATGCAGATAGAAATGCTGGCAACATGGTCACATATTGGTAACAGTCACTGTAGAACTGATGGCTGTTGTCTGTGTATTTTGAAGGAGTCAAAGAAACCCCACACTACGTTCAACAATGGAAACCTGATGTTTTCCACCCTAGACCTCTTTGCTGCTGGGACTGAGACTACTTCTACCACTGTGCGCTGGGGGCTTCTTCTGATGATGAAGTACCCTGAAATCCAGAGTAAGGCTGAGAACTCCTCCTGTACAATACGCTTATACTTGTATGCTTAAGGCTTTGGCTGTGGCAGGGAGTGGGACTCATTCAGTGTTGTCTAGACTAATTATTCCCAGTACTCTGAGGGAGATAACAACCACTGACTTTGCAAAGGAATTTTATTCAGCTGGATTTCAATAATCCAGCCCCACCAAGTGGGAGAGGCTCAGGGCCAGTCTACAGTTAGAGTAAAGCTCTCCCAGCCTTATTCTCCTGCAGGCAATGGGCTTACATCACTACAGGGCTCTTTAGGAGATGATTCTGATCTGGTTTCTTTTGAAGGCTATGGGGCAGCAAAGGTGTGTGAGCAGAATCAGGCATGGGGTGTACTGGAGTGACTCCATTCAAGCTCCCTTGGCTCAGCAACAAACCCAAAAGAACCACACCATGCCCTTACTCACCCACTTCTGCTTTTCCCAAATACCCCTCAAAGTTTCCCCTTTTCTACATCTTGGCCAAGCTGTAGGCCATTCCAGGTGCAAGATAAGAGGGTTATCAGCTTCTTAATCCTTTCCTCTCTCCAAGGAAAGATTCAGGAAGAAATGAACCAAGTCATTGAACCAGGAGAGCTGCCTAAGTTGGAGGACCGGAAAAAAATGCCTTATACAGATGCAGTGATACATGAAATACAGAGGTTTGCCAATATTGTCCCAATGGGTGTCTCACGATCCACTCCTACCGATGTGAATTTCCAAGGCTATGTGATTCCTAAGGTGAGCTTTGAGGTTTGCAGCTTCCACTGCACAAGTTCCTTACACTTCTGTTTAAAGCAGACAAGAAGAAAAACATCAAAAGCTAAAGACACCATGATGTGTGGTTTAATTGATTATATGATTCTTTATCTTGGACCCAGGGTAGCTGCTATAAACATGCACTTGGCTGTGGTCTGTTACAGCTGTTTGGAGCCAGAAAAAACAGTGATTAATTAAACCACATTGGTTTGAATCTCTTATGCCAAATGTGGAACCTCTACTTCAGCATCTTTCTTGAAAGACCTGGCTGCGTGAGAAGGGAATGTTTTGTGGTCCAAAAAGAGAGCAGCAGCTACTGATGACAGGCAGAGCCACGGCAGGACAGGGAAGCATCCCCCAGTTCTGTTTGCCATGGCTGAGTCTTGTTTCCCTCTTCACATTAGAAAAAAAGAGAGCACCCTGGCTTGACAAGGAAAGTGATCTGCTCTAAACAGCTCCTGTGAGTTTCTTTGATCTCTTTCAGGGTACAGAGATTATTCCACTGCTGACCTCTGCTCTGAATGACAAGTTATACTGGAAAACCCCAGATCAGTTCAACCCTTCCCACTTCCTGGATGCCGATGGGAACTTCATTAGGAGAGAGGCATTTATTCCATTCTCCATAGGTGAGATGGGTAAGGTGGGCACCAGCTTGGGCTATGATCATGGCACAGTTCCCACTGATTCCAGAAAAATATGAAAGTGGAGGACACAGACCATAGAATAAGAGATTTCTGGTCATTTGTCCTGTCCACCATTGCTGCATGTAACCACCTCTTCATTGGAAGATCTGGGAGACACCAGTTTCATGAATGGTCTCACATACCTAAAGGCATCTGTGTGGTTTGAGACAAGTCAGTAGCACCTCTAATGTACAGAGAGAAGGAAGGAAAAATTTCCTACCTCAGCAGCTTGCTCTGACAGACTGCACATCCATTTTAGAAGGTCTCAGACATCAACACTAGCAGTTATGGTGCTGATCATTTACTTCTCTCCTGCTTGTTTTCAGGACGAAGGGCTTGCCTTGGAGAAGGACTGGCCAGAATGGAGCTGTTCCTCTTCTTTGCAGGCTTGCTCCGCAAATTTGTTTTCCAACCCGCTCCGGGAGTGGATAAGTCAGACCTAGATCTCACTGCTGATGTTGGCTTCACCTTGACCCCTATGCCTCACCTGGTTTGTGCTGTGCCCTCTGAATGATCAAATAACATGGGGTTAGAACAGTGAACACTTCCAGCTTGAAAGCAAGTCTAGTTACAGAGCAAAGCACTGGGCACTGCTGGTTTTCTCTCACTCATGCTATTCTTTCCAACAGCTCTCGTGGTGTGTCCGTAGAAAGCAAAGCCTCCAGACCCCCTTGAGCACTGCTCTCACAAACTGTGTGATTCATTCCTGGAACAGCACATCAGAGACGCAGTTTTCAAGGCTGTTTGAAAGAATGAAATGGCTTCAAGCTTCCTCTATAGATGTAACCCATCAGGGGCTCTCCCTCGAGAGCCTCCATGGGGAATTTCTCCACCCAAAGTCCAAGCTCTATAGCAGAGATGATTATCGATGTCCCAAGTGGAGACAACAGGCACTTAATGGATCTAGAAATCTCCCCAGGACAGTTGTTCAGCTGAGCCTCAGGCTGAGCTTCTATTGTGCCATACAACCTGCCTTATCTTTATTACAGAGTCCCAGACCCGAGGGTGTAACGTGGGCTGATGCCAAGAGCCAGACACAGGACAGTTATCAGAAAACATCTGAGAGGTTTGGGAAGTGGGTTCCTTCCAACTCACACAGGCACTTTATGCTGAAGAGACTATTTATGATGGGGCAAATCTGGCAGCTTTCTGCTTCTGCTAAGAAAGGCATTTCTACTACTCCCTCACCTCTCCTGGCTTCGTGCTGGCTTTGGCACTTGCCCCATCCCTTAGTGAGCCATCTTAGATCCCTAAACTGGCAGAAAAAGACCAGCCACAGAAAGTGAAGCATTTCTGGGGCTTGCAGTTACAAATTCAGCACTGATAATGCTCACATTCTGCCAGCAGAGATCCTCCATCATTGTCAGGACTAATAGGATGTTTTATGTAGTCACTGCAAAAACAGATGTAAAACTGGTAATAGAGTCTGGAAGGAGAAGCAGGTTAGACCTTGATAGCAAGTAGCTCACCTGGGCTGTTAACTTCTCATTTGGTGGTCTCTGTAGAAAGCTGGTGACACCCCAGGGACTGTGGCTGTCCTAGAGCAGCTGTTTGATTGCTACAATGAATGATTTATTTCAAGTAGCAACCATTAGCAGCAGGAACAACTAGCTGTACCCACAAGGCTACACTCACTGAGGGAAAGCCTGATACGTGTGGGAAATCCAAATGGTGGTGCGGGTACCAGAGAGGAGGGTCCTTCATGTGCTGTGGAACAGGCAGGAATCCACATGTGGGTTAGGGACTGAGGATGCTTTTGTGTTGGAGGCAGGAAAGACAGGTTAGGATGAAAAGAAAAAAGGGAGAAACAGAAAGTTACAGAAACTGAGGGAGTGGTTATGTTAAATCTATAACATAAACCCCAAACTGCTGTCACCTAAAGCTTATCTGTGCTGCAAACAGAAAGAAACCAAAAAGAGAGTATGAAGGGATGACAAGGCTTTGATTCACCAAGACACTGCTTCTTCACACGAGCTTCAGTTCACAGAAGCAAAGGCAGCCCTCTGGTAGTTGCTCTGTACCTTGTACTGGCATTGCCCTTGTACACACATGGCCCCGTGGGGCCAGCTCCAGCTTCCGGGAACATCTCGAGGACTCTGCTTAACAGGCTACGTGACAAGAAATCCTTTGCTGCTACATTTGCTTATATTTGTTTTGCTGTTCCTCTATTTGCAATCTAATTACTACAAGCCTGACCTTATCTCCTACTTAATCAATAAATATTTTACTCTCTTGTTCTATCTGGTGTCGCGGGATGAAACTGATTTTGGGTCGAAACGAAGAAGTTGGGCTGCACCACCTTTTAATACACCCACATGAGAGAGGTGAGCACAGGGATCCCTGGGCAACATTCAGCCAGAACATGTTTAGTGAGTGATTTTCAGAGCCACAAACAGCTCAAAGGAAAGAATTTAATTTCTAACTCCAGAAAACCGCAGTTGCTGCCTGAGGCAGGACGAGGCTCTGGACACCTCTCTGATGGGGCCTCCTGCTGTGATTCCTGTGGCTCCCACCCTTGCTTAAAAGGACCTCATCAGGGTAAAAGCCAGCTGGAATTACCTGAGGCTGCAGTCCTGGCTGCACTGCTGGTCAAGAGTGGGACTGATGGGAAGGCAGAGAGTTTTAGGGGGGGTTAAGTTAAAGGATGCAGGGCTGGTGCTTTGCTGAGTGGCTCTCCCCAGGCAGGCCAACTGGCAGCGCAGTGGCTGCCCTTGAAGGTGGGTTGATGATGCCCATGCTCCATGTCCTCCCCAGCACCACCTGGTTCACATGCTGTAGCAGGGGATTGATGGCTCTGTGGGGAGAAGGATGGAGGACAACCCGGCCACGAACACCCTGAGGGGCCCGGCTGCCCCAGGAATGCACCCGGAGCGGTGTCAGCACCTGGCAGGTGCTTTGTGCTCTGCTCTGTGTGCTGAGCCAGGGGAGCACGTAGCAGCACCCACTCCGGAGAGGAACACCTACCAGACTCATCACTGAGACAGGAATTTCTTGTCATCGCAAGAGCTTTACTTACCTTTGTCATTTTAATGCATTGCACTCAGAGCCTGGTTTTAAAAAAACAACACAAAAACCACAACAACCCAATACACTCCCTCCTCTGGCTTTTCAGAGATCATTTAAGTCTCTTTCTGAAAGGCCTTTTCATGATTTCAGCAGCTCCTGGAGCAAGGATGAAATACCAGGAGAGGGGCAGCAACAGGTAACTTTTGCACTGCAGGTGCTGCCAGTCCAACAAAACCCTGCAGGAACAAAGGCTCTGCACAGGGCACAGAGCTTGTGCCACCGTGAGTTCTCATCCCAGTGCCCACGTTCTGCACCCTGTGCCAGCCTTCCTCCTTCTTGCCTGTCTTTACAGCTCCTCTGCCTCTCTGCTCACTTGAGCAGGCAGGGCTGAGTCACCCTAGGCATGCTGTGGGGGAAACCGTTGCCTCCGCCCCCATTTCTTGGAAACTAATTTAAAAAAATATAATAATCACAGAAATGTTGCAACACACTTTGCTGTTTCTGCTTCTGGGCAGCTGTTTGCTGTGACACCTCCACATCATGCAGTCAGCTCCAGCGTGCAACCAAGCAGCTGCTGGCTTTGGCACTGTGCTAACCATAGCTGTGCCACCGTTCACATTAGGTCCACTTCCTTCCCTACCTCCTCTGCAAGGCTGAGAGGACCCACATTTGCTGAGTAATGGCCTTTTTATAATCTAACCTTTGGATAAATGTACCTTTAGCCTTGTGCTTCCCCATCATGCAAGATGGCTCTTTCTTCCCTGAACAATCTTACTCCATCGGCTGTCTATTCCCAGTATTCTCCTGAAAACCACTGTTCAACCAGGTAGATCTCAATTTCCTCTAGACAGGATTTAAACTGTTATGAGAGATGCAGGTTCCAGGTGTTTCAGATCTTTGACTTAAAATAATCCCATTCTCCTGTCTTGTTCCTCTTCTGAAGCCTGCTGGGTCACCTGGCTTCATTAACTTCACTAACTTCTTCCCCCTAGCCCTTAGAAGCTGCCCCTGCAAAACAAAGAATCCTCCCAGAAGTTTCAAACCTAATTTTGTCTTTCCATTCCACTCATGAATCCAGTCATGATCACTTGATCCAAGCTAATTTTCCGTGGCTAGCTATTACATGTCCTCCACTTCAGACACGAAGTCTGAAATCACATCCCTTCTGGGCACTTCAGAGCCGACTTTATGAAGAAGTTTATGGTCTACAACCCTCAGGACACATGGGCTTCACCATTACTAATGACCTTTGATCTCCACTTGACACTAAGAAAGTGTGAGTGTCCTGTAATGATACTATTAGTTAATCTAGTAACATGGAGATCTCCAACCCTACCCAAACCTGAACCTGGGAGTTTCTAACAGGATTCAGAGAAACATTTTTTATTTCCCAGTGTCAGCAGAGTGTTTGGCAGGTCATAGTACTGCTAATAAAGGACCTCGAGGTCTCAGGGGAGGAGGAGGTTATAGAGGAATGCCAAGCACCTTTTCCCATGTATATGTTCTTGCACACACATGCATGGGTTTGTAATTTGAAACTCTCTTTACTTCTGGACAGGCTTTGCAAACTGCTTAGACCACATTCTCTGAGGTGTTTAAAGAGGGTGGAGTATGCAGTATTTATTTAGGTACTCTACAAACCTTAATAAGAATTGAGTGCTTGTAGCAATCGCAGAGAGCAAACAGAAAGCCAGCTGGCAGAAACTGAGCAGTGCCACTGCATTTTTATTGCTTCTAACCTCCCCAAAACCGATTTATTACTAAAAAAAAAAAAAAAAAATGTCTTTTTTAATTTCATTTCTCTCTGATCCTGTATTAATTTGCCTGCTGTGTGCAGCAGTATTGTTAGCTGTGCTCTATTTTTCAACTGGCTATAAAAATTCAGCTTTCAAATTACCTCCTGGTCCAACTCCTCTTCCGAAACTTCCGATCATTGGTAACCTGCACTTGGTGGATCTTAGAAGGCAAGATAAATCACTAATGAAGGTAGGACAAAAACCCCCAAACCCAGACCCTCCTAGATTTTAAAGCTGCCTGGGATATATTACTGAGAACTTTTATTTATTTTTTTTTAATTCAAACTAAATTGTAAAGGTGTGAAAATTGCTTGATAGTATTTTTCTGGGCTTCTTGTAGCCAATGTCTGTGTCGATGCAATGTCATTTATGAGCGATCAACCATTAAAAAAAAGACCTCTGGATAATATGGGAATTCTTCATGTAATTCTGATGATGTACATGAAGTATATAATGCTTGTGGGATTTGAAATGTTAATTTGAAAGCCTGGATACCCAGGAATATTTTAAAGCATTAGGACCTAACTAACATGAAATTAAATTGCTTACCTCCCCTCTGAGCTTTGGGGAGCTGGCAATGGGAATTCTGTGACGCTGCTTTGGAGAGGGCCAAAATCCAGATGCCCTGTTGCAAAATCCACTTCCCTCTGGATGAATTTGGTACGCCTTAAACCTAGACAGCAGGACAAGAGGGATGGGAACGTTGCCCTCAGGACTCAGAATAAATAGCCTGTAAACTCTTCTGTTAACCCGTAATTAAGACAACTTACCCCACTTATGGTGGTTAACTGTTCTGCAGTGCAAGAAGAAGCTGGCAGAGCCTGGGAGGGCTTCTGTTGGGCTGCTGAGCTCCCTGCTCACCAGCACCTTTGGGGACCGACCTCTGCAGGGGAGAGAGGGAGCAAAGAGGGAGCCAAGAGCCAGCGGCTGAGGAGGAGCTCTGGGCTCGGCTCAGCGCCGGGGCTCAGCAGACACGGGCGGCTCTGCAGGAGCAGCCTGGGGGTGGGTTGGTGCTGCCTGCCGTGGGGTGAGGCTCCCAGCACCTGGGGTTGGCAAAGCAGTGTCAGGGCTGGGGTCAGTTTACCCAACGGGGCTGGGCAGACGTTGCTGCAGCTTCTGCAGGGCGCTTTGGAATTACCTCCGCATGCTTTCATCACCTGCTCGGCTGTATTTGGTTTGCCTTTACTTTGGGATTGCTCCAGAGGGGTTATCCTTCCATCTCTGCCCCACAGAGAGCAAAAAATAGTGATTGCATCAAGCAGCAGGCACCGGTGTTTTCTGGCTGGGCACCCAATGGGTCCCCCTGTCACCCTGCTGAGGCTGCCCGCACGCACTGTGGGCTTGCTTAGGCAGCAGATTTGAGCTGTGCCTTCCCACCACCTTGCTCCAACCCAAACTCCTCTTGGCTGTCCCCAGCTGCTCTTTTCAAGCTGCCAGGGAGCAAGATGCAGCCGCAGCACCAGGGTGGATGTAGGCAAGAGCATTCAGCCTTCCATGGACCCCGGTGCAGTGGATGCATCCCTGTCATCTGCCAAGGTCCACAGGGCCTTGTCCTAGACCCCTCTCCTTGGCAGAGAGGAGCAGGGATCATTGCACAGCTGGCCCTGGGGCACACACAGGACATGCCACATGGTCCTGGAGTGATTTTCAGCCCCCCGAGGCACCATGTTGTCTTTGTAACCACCTGGCAAGGCACAGCTTTGGCAGGGAGCTGAGGAGAATTTGCTCTGGGCTTTGTGACAGCAAAAAAGCCTCTCTAGGTCAGACCCTTTTTGGTGCAAAAGGATCATCACTTTCTGTACAAGCAAAGGGAGAGGCAGGGGTGCAGGTAGCCTTCTCCTGCCATAGGTTTCCCTGCTGTGCACAACTGAGCTATAGGTACCAAAGTCAGGTCCATGCAGAGGGCCACAGATCTGCAATTTTTGGTCATCTAGGGCAAAGTAAACACCCGGCGTGGGGCAAACAGCCCCTCTGGTCTAGAAGCAGGGACACAGGAGTGCTCTGGTGTGAGAGAAGCATCACACCAAAGCTTTCCTGTGTAATAGCATCATTACTTACACTTAAATGTCTTCTCTGTTTTCATCTTTCTCCGGTTTGCCAACTTGTGTTGCCATTTGAGGTCCAGTCTTTAACTCTAGGTGGGTTTTCTTGTTTTTCATTTACTTTCTCCTTAACAGCAAAACCAGATCCTTAAAGCACTGATGGGGATGGGGGTTCTTTCATGGCAATAAGCCTAAAATCTATATGGATGCCAGCCAGGCATCCATAGAAAATGCCTCGTGTTTGACTACGATGAGCTACAGCTCACAGATGCCCTTCTGCAGATAGTGGCTCCACAGGCATTCCCAGCAGGGCACCAGGATGTAATATGTCCTTTGAGAAGGCAACTGGCACTTGCCCTTTGCACATTCCCTCCCTCCCCTCCCATCACACCTCATCTCTTTTTCAGCTTGCAGAAAAATATGGCCCCATCTTCACCCTCCACTTTGGGTTCCAGAAAGTTGTGGTCCTGACCGGGTACGAAGTTGTGCGGGAGGCACTTGTGAACTACACAGAGGAGTTTGTGGACAGACCATCCATCCCAATATTTGACCAAATTCAGAACGGAAAAGGTACTAGAGAAATGAGGGGGGTGGGAGGGAAGGATG